CTCCACCCTCTAACCAACCAGTGACTCAAACTCTCTAACCAACCAGTGACTCCACCCTCTAACCAACCAGTGACTCCACCCTCTAACCAACCAGTGACTCCACCCTCTAACCAACCAGTGACAGTGTTCTGACGTGGTGTTTTCAGGCCAGTATGGTACAGTTGGAACCATAAAGAGTAGGTATTAAGAAGGAGACTGGTTCCATGAATCCTTGCTAGTGGAAACACGTTGGAACCATTCAGAGCCAAGCTGAACCAAACTGTAGAGGCACCAGTGGAAAAAGACCATTATCTGAAGCAGGTCCAGGCCATGCTCTGCCATTAAGGGACTCGTAGGACAGCAGTTAGACTTGACACAGCCAAAACCCAAGTGGATAGCTGCCATCTTAAACCATCTCCAAAATGGCAACATTTAGTGCAAATGTTATTACTTCAAACTTTAAATAAGCATGTAATTCAGAAACACTGGCAGTGTAAAGAGTAGTATTATGTCATTCTTCAAACCAAGATAACAAGTCAGATATTAATTATTGGTAACATTTTCCCAGGATCCCGTCTCACCTCTGGCTGGAATGAAAACTTCCTGCACAAAGGACTTACCAGTGTAAACTGGTCATAAACCTGCATGAGGTCCTCAGTCTTGTACTGCTCCAGCACCACAAAGCTGTCCAGGTTTGTGCTTGCCCTGCGTGCACAGTCCTGGCAGTGCACCACGTAGGTCTTCCTGCTGTTGCTCTCAGTGGTCACAAAGAGCAGATCGAACACCTCCACCTGGGTCAGAACACACAGAGGCTTTAAGGACAGTGTCCAGGCTGAACGCAGCAGCCACACTCAACACGTCTTACTTCACAGATGCTGCAGTAATGAGCCGGCTCATTCTGGGTCCTGCTGTGCCAAACCAACTGTTTCCCAGCAGACAGCAGCATTTCCCTCTGCATCTGAACCTGCTTCAGAGTCCGCAACAAACAATACCTAAGGAAACAAACCCCCTCAGTTAGCATGGGCTAGCACAGAACACATGTAAACAACGCAGACGATGAATCTCACTTGATCATCTCAAAAAGCTTGTGGTCAGACACTTTGATGTTCCTCGCCATGTTCCACGACAGGTGGATCATGGGAACAATGGATTTGACACTCTGCAGTTTGTTCCACTCGTAGCGCTCCACTGCCAACTTGTACTGATGAGCTGCAGACAAACGTCACCTGTTAGCGCTGGAGCTAATTTGTTTTCTTTAAGATGCATTTCATGGCACACATGGAAGATTTTAAAATTAATCCTGATGGCAAAAAATGATTTTTCTGCCGCAAATATCATCGTATCAAAATAAGTCAAACAGGGTTCATGCAGGTTTCAGTAAGGTAAATTTAAGACCTTTTAAAGACTTTTTAAGACCAAACTGATGCGTTACCAGAAACATTCAAACGGACCCAGAAATTTTAACTAAGAAATCTTTTATTGCAATCCTTTTACCTGTAAAGAATATTTAATTTTAACACAACCCCTGGCAAAAAGTATGGAATCACCAGTCTTGGATGAGCACTCATTCAGACATTTCTTTTTTCTTTTATACGTAATTTTTTGGGAGATTTACCAAGTCATGCAAATCTGCTCCGGATTTCATCCTTAATAATGATTTGTGARACTCAGCTTACTATCGAGTTCCTGTATGTAAACCATTTCAACAAGTATTTTTTGATTTTGTTTTCCTGGAGTCTTAGGGAAAAAGTAAGCATGTCCATTTCACATATTTCTTCTACTGTGGCTAACCAGTCCCTCAATGTTGGTGGGCTCCCAGTAAGCCACTTTCTTGTTATTGATTTCTTACTTGCTATTAGTAGTATTTTCAAAAGGTACTTATCCTGAGTGTTGAGTTCTCTTGGTAAATTACCCAGATATATAGTTTTAAAGTTATGCTTTATTTCAAATCCAAGAGTTTTTCTCATCTCTTTGGTAATCTTTGACCAATAGGAATAAATCAGTGGGCAGCCTCAGAAAATGTGGAAGTGGTCAGCCATCACATTATCACATGGTCTCCAACAGTGCCCTGATTCGGTCCTGCCGGTCTGACACAATGTTCTTTTGGAGGTTATAAAAAAAATCTAACAATATTTTTCCATGAAAATCCCCTCCAATGTCCTGAGCTTGTGGTAGTGGAGTTAATCTGACAAATGTTTAGCCACTCATCCTCCGTCAGTGTTATTTTTACCTCCCTTTCCCATGAATTTTTAACATATATTGTTGTTTTTTTATTGGCTTCTAAGCACCCACATATCCTGGACAGCCTCTTCTTATAGGATTTACCTTTATAAGCATCAATAAAGATATTAATGAGGTCTTGATCATCTTTTTCCAATGTTTTAATCTTCTTATTAAAGTAGTGCCTGAGCTGCAGGTATCTGAAAATATCTTGTTTGTCAAGGTCAAATTTTTCTCATAATTGTTGGAAACTATCCAGAAGAAACCACACAGTATGAAGTAATATCTTTCCTGGTTAGTTGTTTGAACTTTGAATCAAGTTGTGCTGGTACAAAATCCCTATCATGTTCAATCATCTTAATAACTGAGTTTTCCTCTCTAAGAGTGCGTTGTGAAACTCTCTAAACCAGATGTTGAGAGGGACTTTTGTGGAGACACACAACTCATCTGCATGTTTGTTATTGACATGTTGATCCCCCAGTAGGGCTTGCAGGGGGATGTTGATTTGACTTAATTCTAGTTGTTTCCATTTTGTTTCATACCCCTCTTCACACCAGTGAACCACAAATTGCAGTTGTGCTGCTTTGTAATAATTTTCCAAACATAGGAGAGACATTCCTCCTTTGTCCCTTGGTAGTTGTAGCATTTTATAACGTACCCTTGGTTTCTTATTTCACCATGTAAACCTGGAGATAATCTGGTTCCACTCAGTAAACTGCTTGGTAGGAATTTCTATTGATAAAGATTGAAATAGGTACAGCAGTTGAGGTAAAATGATCATTTTTATGATTTCTATTCGACTGTACAACTCGAGCGTTAGTGGGGCCCATCTGTCCAAGTTATTTTTTATTTTATTAGTCATAGAACCATAATTTACTTTGTATATTTTGTTTAAATTTTTGGTAATATTAACACCTAAATATCTCATGATTTTTGTTTTCCAGTTAAATTTGAACCGATTACTTATATCCTCTTGGGGTGAGTAAATAAAGCAGAGGGTCTGAGTTTCTCCAATATTTAATTTATAACCTGAATAAAGTCCAAATTGGTGGAGGCAGGACATGAGGTGAGGTCGACTGGCATCTGGGTCAGATAAGCTCACCAGAACATCATCGGCATATAGACGTTTTGTATTCTCTTCCCTTAAATATGATTCCCTTAATTTCTGGGTCTTCCCTAATTTTTTGAGCAAGTGGCTCTATAAAGAGTACAAAGAGAACTGGGCTCAGAGGACATCCTTGTCAGCATCCTCGTTCCAGTGGGAATGTGCCTGAAAGGCCACCATTTAATTTGACCCTTGCTACTGGCGAACTGTATATTGATTTTAAGCGTGTAGGGGTGTGTAGGGGTCACCCTGGTGAAAAAAAACTTTTCTATTGTTTTTTCTTTGTCTTTAACTTTATTTTTTTTTTACACTTATAAGAAGAAAATCATTTTAAAGTGTTTTTATTTTCTTTAAGTGAATAGGACAAAGTCCTATATATATGTTATCTCATTTAATC